GGAAAAGCCAAAGGCGTGATCGGCGTGGGATTCTGAACAGGGCTGGCCCTGGAATTCCTCTTGTCTACCCCTCCCTGTGTGTGGAGAGAAAGCTGAGCTGAGGCCACATTTGTGTGAAGGCCAAACCACACTACACAAAAACAACAGTTAGAACCCAATCCTGGTCTCTGCCTGGGAAAACAAAGGAGCCGCCCAGGACCCCTGAGATGTCCCCAGGAGAACAGCAAATCAAACATGGAAACATTTTCTGCCTGGCTTTAATCAAGTATCACTAATGATATCTCAAAAGAGCACTAATCACTTTCAGTGATCGATTTTTTTACTCTGAATATTAACACATAAAGGGAAAGAATGTATTCTACCTTTCCTAAACAAACTATTCGATGATAAATGTCTGGTAAAGCTTTTTGTATGTGTGCTGGTACTAGGACTTGAACTCAGGGCCTTAAGCTCACACTTAGCATTTTTGCTCAAGGCTGGTGCTGTACTACTTGAACCATACCTCTACCTCCAGTTTTTCACTGGTTGATTGGATATAAGAATCTATTGTATTTGTTTGCTGGGTCTGGTTTCAAACCATGACCCTCGGGCTGGGAAGGTGGCTCAGTGGTAGAGTGCTTGCCTTGCATGCCTGAGGCCCTGGGTTCGATTCCTCAGCACCACATAAGCAAAAAGAAAAAGAAAAGCTGGAAGTGGCTCTGTGGCTCAAGTGGTAGAGCACTAGCCTTGAGCTGAAGAGCTGAGGGACAGCGCCCAGGCCCAGAGTTCAGGCTCCATGACCAGACTCAAAAACAAACAAACCATGACCCTCAGATCTTAGCCTCCTGAGGAGTTTGGATTTTACAGGTATGAACCACCAGCGTCCAACAAGAAACTAAAGAAGAATTCTAGCTAATAATCACCCAAGAGGATCGATGGATGACTGGAGAAAACAACATATGGCTTATTATTACTATTCCACCTTAAACAGGGCAGATTCTGACCCACAATACAACAATGTGCCTTGAGGACACTGGGCTGGCACAAGCCAGGCACTGTAAGGCTCCACCCTTGTGAGGTATGAAGCCTACTCAGATCCGCAGAAACAAAACGAATGATAATTTTGTCTCCCGGTCTCAGCCGAATCTCCCAGGCTCGATCTCTCTGCTAGCGGTGAATCCAACTGTAGCTACAAAGCTGGTACAGATGACCCGAAAGCCTGCCTAATCAAAGAAAAGCAATCCCCTGAGTCATAGTCACTGATTCAAGAATAGGCCTGTAATCCAATCCAGAGAAAATGAGAAACTGGGAGATCTTTGTACTTGTCTAGGAAAACAGAAGACAAAAGCGCTCACTATTCCCTTTAGGATGCAAAGTTGAGTGGATGTAAGGGTTAGAGCTGTGTCAGCTTTGGTGACAAGCAAGCAAAAAGAGCTCTCTAATGTTAGGTACATATCTTAAAGCATTGTTAATCTTTAGAGAAGCTAAAATCATCATCACCTGAGCCTTGTAGGGTAGCCTGAGACTTTGCTTTCATGCTGAAGTCATGTTGGGTTGTCAGTCTGCCCCATCTCACCAGTAATTAATTAAGCCAGTGATCCCTCTAGTAATTAATCAAGAGTCTCTAATGCACTGTGAAAGCCAGACACCCAGGTGGGCCTTCCCAGGAGTGTCAGCGCTGGCTCCACCCCACACACTCTGCTTAGTTAACCTGGCTTCCCTCAGCAGCTTCTTCCCACCCCAACCTCCTCCCTCCTGGTCCCCAAGGGCCTGCCTGTCCCTGATTCAGAGGCTTTGCTGACCAGCAGGCCCCAGCCCCTTGCTGGTGATGGCACACCTGACTTTACCCATGGCACCAGGAGGAAAAAGGTTTGCTTTCGCTCAGGAATGACTTTAAAGGCTTCAGATTTTCTATGGATTTGAACCTGTGGTGAGGTGGGATACATGGACTGTGTGCTGGAGGAAAGCTGTATATCTGGGGGTGGGGGAGGTGTTGGGGAGGTGGGGAGGGAAGGGATGGTACAGGAAAAACAAAGGGGGTAACAATGCTCGTTAGGAAATGTACTCATTACCTTATGTAACTAGCCCTCTGTACAGTATTTTTACAATAAAATATATACATATATATATATATATATATATATATACATACACACACACACACATAAATCTGTATGTCTCATAATGGCCACATGGGAAACAGACCAGAATCCCAATACCCCTTCAAGGGCGTGACTCTTAATAGCCAACTTTCACCACCTTCCAGCTCCCACTAGTGCCACCAGCTGGGCACCAATGCTCTAACACACTTTGGGGATGTTTCCTACTCAAACCTCTTGGCTCCCTCCCTGTCTCCAGCCATCCCTCCCCTCTCTGCTTCTCCCCCCCCCCCCCCCCCCCCCCAGGCCTCTGTGGGGCTCTGGGGCCTTTCATGACTCAGGGATGAGTCATTCATACTTCTTGACAGTGATCCAAATCAGACCCAGCTTCCAAGGTGTCAGAGAACAATGGATTCTCAGGAGAGGACAGCTCAAACCAAGAAAGGGAGGACTGTAAGAGGGACTGGAAAGAAAAGGACAGTTGTTCTCCAGGAAAGAGAGAAGGAGCAAGGACAGAGGAAGGCTGACCATATTTAGACCAAAGGACAGGAGGTTCCGGGGACACCTGAGTGGGGACATTCGCCAGACTCAGGGTGAGCTGCCTGAGATAAAAGCGTATGCCCAAATGCCCTGACACAACACTAAAACCGCTGCACACGGGAGCGGAGGAGAGGAGCATACAGGGAGACCTGTGAGAACCCTCCTCCAGAAGTGAGGGAGGTGAGGAGGGTGAGGTCATCACAAACTGCTGAGCAGCTGGGCTCCATCAGCTTGCCGCTGGCAGAAATTCAGGCCTACCAAGACCTTCTAGAATTTTCTATTCAGCAAGAGACACAGAGGCTCCAAAGAGGCCAGGCAGTTGCTGGAGGTGTCCCAAGAGCCACTAAGGGTCAAGGAACAAAGGAGCCTGGGGTTGGTTATGAGCAACCAGGCAGAATTCTCTCCCCTCACTTCCTAGACCAGGGCTGACAAGGCAGAACCCTGGGGCTAGCTCTTGTATTAAATGATAAAACAATAGAGCCCAACTATCTCAAATCCCAATGGTCCCTGGGGTCCAAACCCTGCAAAACCCCCTCCCTTTCAGCAGGCTCAAGCCCCATAACTTACTGTGAGCCAATAGAAATCTACTACAGTAATAAGATTCAATTGCTATGCTTACCTTACATAAGATTCTAGCTTCCAGGTTGCTGGTTTGGCTTCCTCGGTGGATTCTCATTGGCTCTGATGAAGCCAGTGACCATGTAGCCCCAAGCCGAGGGCATGGCCCATAAGGAATTGGACTCCTTAGAGCAGCCCTGGAGAAAATGAATCATGTGGAGGTTGGAGGGGGACCCCCCCACCTCCTTCCCCAGCACAGCCTCAGCTAAGACCCCAGCTCTGGCCCACCAGGACTGCAGCTGGGGAAAGTCCCTGAGAAGAAGCCCTGCCCAGACAGGCCTGATTCCTGTGCAATGACTGGGAACCGGGAAAGGCTGTTCTGAGATGCTGAGTTTGTGGGAAAGAGTTAAGCAGGAACAAGGTGGCACAGCTGGGGCATCAGGGAGAATGATGGAGACCTGACACGTACAACTGGGCTCCCAAAACTCACTGTGGAACAAAAGCAACCGCACAGAAGATGGAACTAATGTGATTCCCGCCCCCCCCCACCATGAAATTCAAAATCAAACATAACTGAATATGGAAGTCAGAATTGAGGTTACCTTGGGAAGGGATGGGTAATAGCCATGAGGGGACACAGACAGTTCTTGGATCTAGTCTGATTAGGGGCATTCATATGCCTTGACCAAGGCCTGTGCCAGCTCCTGGCTGGACTGGGTTTCACTGAGGTCTGTCTCGTCATGAGAAAGTCTTTGTCCCGGTACATGTTGGAGACAAGTGTTTATCTGAAGACACACATGGTAGGAAGGATGAGGGGAAGGGGATGAGATTAGGATTGAGGCTGGCTCAACTGGCTAGAGAAGTTGATGTCCTAAGGCACCCCAAACCTATTTCCCTGATTCCTCCTTGTTGTGTGGACTCCTTATGGACACTGTAAAACCTGCCACAGTTCATACTTCTCAGAAAAGAGTACTAAACTGTGTGTGTGTGTGTGTGTGTGTGTGTGTGCCAGTAATGGGACTTGAACTCAGAGCCTGGGCACTATCCCTTAGCTTATTAGCTCAAGGTTGGCACTCTACCACTTAACCAGCTATTTGCTGGCCAAATGGGAATGGAATCATGCAGACTTTTCTGCCCTGGCTGACTGTAGACCTCAATCCCACAGATCTCAGCCTCCTGAGTAGCTAGGTTTACAGGTGTGAGCCACCAGCACCCAGCTCAAATTTAGCTTTCTGGAGCCTCCTGGGCCTCCTTTTGCCCGTGAAAGCAGATTGGCCTGTAGGTACAGTGTGGAGGAAGCTGGGGTGTAAAGTAGCTGAGGTAAGGCAGCTGCAGCTGCGTACCTTCCTGGCACTTCTGTCCCTCGGCCCTGTGACACCCCCACCCAAGCCGGGGACTTAAGAACAGCCATGGATCCGGTCCAATTCTGGAGCCTCAGTCTGATGCTTGTAAGAACAGACAGAACAAGACAGCTGTAGGTTTGCAAACACCCTCAGGCTACTACTGATAACACCGCTTTAAAAATACGACGGGGTAATACCATCCCTCTGTGCTTCTTCCCCGCGACTTCCGAGTCTCAGCTTCCCCATCTGCGAAATGGGAAAGCACAGGACACTGGAGCCATCCCCACGTGGCACGAGGTGGCTCCGCTGCAGGTGACGCCCCGCCCACTTCAAGCCACGCCCCACCTTCGGGCCCCGCCCAGCCCCGGCGTTGTCATGACGACGTGCGTACACAGGCCAGGCCGGCTCACGGGGTGCCGGCCTCGGGCTGGAGACTCCCGCGCAGCGCGGCCTGGAGGCCTCGCCCCGCAGCAGCGGCCGGCGCCTCCCGAGCCCAAGCCCGCGGGGGCCGTCGGGCGAGGAAGGGGCGTGGACTCCCTCCTCCCGCCAGGTGAGTCGGGCTCCCGGAAGGGCAGCAGCGCGGGCGGAGAGGACCAGGGCTGAGGGAGGAGGGGAGGAGGCTCCCGGCTCCCGGGCCTCGGGTCCCAGCAAGGCCGCGGCCCGCACCGCCTCCGGGGGTCAGGGGCTGAGCGCCCGGCACCCCTGATGGGTCAGAGCGGTCCCTTGACCGAAGGCCACCTAGCCCCGGCACCCAGGGGGAACCGGAGAGCTGCACCGACTTGCTTCCAGCCGCCCTGGGCCTTTCCTCAGCGAGAACTAACTGAGCTGCTGCGACTGAAACCTCCAGCCACTGCCAGCGGCCTGAGGGCGGCCCATGTGCAAGCTGTTGCGCCCGATGGTGCCAAAGATAGGAGACTCCTGGCCCGAGACAAGGGGCCCGGATTCCCCTCTGAGTTGTTAGTGTGAGCTTCCAGCTGGGGTTGGGACCCCTTGTCCTGCAGGCACCCCTTCTTCTCCCCTTCCTCTGTGGGGGGTGATGAACCCCAATCTGTGTGTGTATATATGTAAGTCCTCAGCTTGAACTCAGGGCCTGGGCCCTGTCTCTGAGTTTTTGTACTTGATGCTGGTGCTCTACCACTGGAGCCACAGCTCCACTTCTAGAATTTTGGAGGTTAACTGAAGATAAGTCTCATGGACTTTTCTGTCAAGGCTGGCTTCAAACCATAACCCTGAAATCTCAGCCTCCTGAGTAGTTAGAATTACAGACATGAGCAAGCAGCCCAGAGCTAGAAAACCCCAATCTTTAAATGGATTGCTAGCTGAACCATTGCCCTAGATCTTTTCTCTTCCTTCCTTCCTTCCTTCCTTCCTTCCTTCCTTCCTTCTTCCTTCCTTCCTCCTTCCTTCCTTCCTTCCTTCCTCCTTCCTTCCTTCCTTCCTTCCT